TGTTCTTGTACAAATTAGGACATTCTCCATTTCACTTCCTAAAATCTTCAGTGCTGGGATCATGGAATATCCTTTTCCATACTCTTGGTCATCCGTCAAGCCTAATTTTTAAGTAATTAGCTGCCTGGCTTTCCATAAGGGGAGCTGGATTCTTGTCGTCTTGCCCTGCCAGAACTTTTATCAACAGAATACTGGATTTCCCATACTGGATTTCCATGCGCTCTCTAGTGCTGCGAAGTTTATTGCTAGTCTGCTTTTACTATTTTCTGAGAGCTCACATCCTGCCCCCGCCCAAGACGGTGCATTTCCTTTATGCCCAGCCAGGCCCATTTTCCACCAGTGTCGTCCATCTGTCAAGTTGCAAAGTCCGTCGAACGTCGCCCTTTCTTTTCTCCAGCCCCCAGGAGCTGCAGAGCCCTCGTCTCCGTCAGGACTGGGCTTAGCTCTCTTCAGCTCTCTGCACTGGAAAAACGTGTGTTCGTACTCTCAGAAAAAGGTGTCCCAGATTTGTTTTACTTTCTCCCCTAGGACAACCCGCAGATGGTGCTTTGATAAGCATGTGCTGTTTTGTTTGTTGTCCTCTCTTCTGTCCTATGTCTCAATAATTCACTTACGGGGAATAGGCTTTGTGCTGCCAGTTTCTAGTTAGCTTATCAGCTTTCGGGTTTGTATCATTTTTACTGTTCATTATTTTCATTTTGGATATAGAATTACCATTTAAGTGCCCTTCTGAGGTTATTCCACTTTAAACTGAAGAGTCTGCCTACGTGCTGTTATTTCAGGCAAATACATTCCTTCCCTCGACAGAATAAAGAATGTCCAATTAACTTTTACAAATTTCTTTAGTGCTTTCCATGTGCCTTGAAGGTAGTATTAACTTTTCATGTACCTAGGAAAAGAAAGTAGGCCGTTTCACCTACAATCCCTAATAATTTTTTTACAACAGTTTTGAAGCATTTTACAAGTATTCTTTGAAGCTCGACTCAGTATATTTTCAGCATGCTTCTGGGGAACAGATGAACACATTTGGGTTGTTGGTAAGATCTGTTGCATGTACGCTCAGTAGCTGTATTGCTTTTCCCTGTGACTTTCTGTGGGCAGTTTGATTCTCTTCATGGGGTGGCATCATCCGGTCACTGGAAACCTGGTAGCTTGCTCTTGAACCCACAGTCTTAAAAATGTGTTAGAACTTGCCTATAATAAATAAATGCTATTATAAGCTATTTTAATGCTATTTTAAATGCTAAAGTAAATGCTGTTTGGCTTTGTGAAATGTTATCACATGAGCCAATTGTTTCCTGTATTTATGAATAAGCAAGGTGATTTGGGTAGTTCGTCATGAAAGCCAGTGGAATAGCTTTGGCAGAGACCATGTTTGCATCGTGACAGCTCTGCACACAGAATTTCTAGACTGGAATCTTCTTGTGATCTATTGGCAATAATTTTATCATTTCAGAATGTGAACTCTTTATGGAGGTGTTTTTAGACTGATAGATCTTCTACTTGGAGACTATTTTCCAAGTATGTTCACTTGATTATTTAAAAGGCATGGGTCTGATTTTACTGGGGTATTCTGGATTTTGTGGAGCCCTACTCCGACTCCACTGGCTTTAGTAGAAGACTCCTGCTCTACATTGGCTTAAATTACATGTTTTTTCCTTCAATCGCAAACAAACCAACTCCCAAACTAAATACACACATGCACACACACACCTGCCTTTCAGGATAGCCAGGAAGTTATGGATTCCTGCACACAAGGGTCTATAAAAGGTGGATCTCTATAGATAACCCCCCACTTGCTCTCTAGCAGTGTATTATTTAGGGGTCCTGATTTTTTAGAGATCACCTTCTTCCTCTACTTGGTGCAGTTTGGCTCCTCTTGCCGTAGCTTTGAAAGTAGATGCCCAACTGGTATCCCTTCTGTAAATAAGGAGTATATCTATTTAAGTTAATGGAGCTAATTGTCAATTTAGTCCTGTGAGCAGGAGGACAGAACTAGCAAGAACTCGAGACAAGGCTGTTGAGGGAATTGCTTGGAGAGGAAGCACAGTGCGTGTGTGGTTGGTGTTCCTGAGGGTGGTCTGAAGGTGCTTGGAGGAGCTCACCAGCTGACAGTGTCAGCTTAAGGACAGGCCTAGGGACAGCTGAGGAAAAGAAGGATCCAGCTGTGGGCGATTTTGGCTTCTGGGGATTGTTTTCCACATTGGTAACGCTGCTGGCAAGACACTTGCTTTGCTTCCTTGAAGGTATTCGCTGAGTCACTTGTAAATATAACTAGGCCAGGCACGTAAGATTGTTATGTATTCCACATGTCTTTCTGCTTTGTGAAGAAGTGTGGGTAGAACAGCTAATTGGATCAAAGCTGGTAATCTTGATTAATTATTTCAAACACATTCTTCAGCTGTATAGTTTTGTTGTCACTGCACACTTCTGTGTGCCTTGGATTGGAAGAAAATCGTTCATGATAGAGCCCTGTGGGTCAAAGTGTCACATGTGCCAAGGGCTGCATCTAAAAATTACAAGAGAAATGTCCCAAAATGATGAATTTAGAGACCCATCAGGCTGGTGTAGATCAGCAGTGGGTTCAGATAATTGAATTTCAGGCAAGCCATTCCAACCCAAGGGTCAAATTATGAATAAATATAAGACAAAACTCACCATCTGGTGAACCATGCCTAATGTAACTGAATTAATTGTTCAGTGGATCTCAAAACCGGTTAAATAGCTTATCCATATTTCTCATAGCTTCTTGCTAAATGACACATTCAAAGCTCTTCCCTTCCTTCTCCCCCTCTAACCCTTTAACCTCTGAGTCATTTGCTGGTGGTGGGTGGTGTTGGCTCTGACAGTGTGTTGAGTATCTTGCTGGAATAAACAGGCTACTTCACCATTTTTTCTAGCAAAATAAGAGCTTGCAGTGAATGGCTGACTTTAAAACATATGGGCCTGAAAATGCATCATTCTAACTCATTATAGTTATTATTTGCACGGTGCTATTTACTTCTGGGTGGTTTTACGGGCAGCATATATGTCTCGAATGGCTTCCTGTTTAAGACATTATACACAAAAATGAAGAAGGCAAAGCTGGATATTAAAATGATTGTTGTAGTCTAGCTTTGTTCAATGATTTTACATTTTTGCTGGTTATAAAATTAGCAGCTTGTTTGCTTCCGACTTCTCTCACTTTAGTGGGCTGCTGGACAGCTGCTAATCTTAGAGGGCTGAGAAAACATTTTGATAGATAGCCCAGTCTGCAGTTTTTTTAATGTAATTTTCTGAGGAGGGACTGGGGAGAGCTGTTTGTTGCTTTTTTACAGAGTAGTTTATGTATTTGTACAGGAAAAAGGAAAAACACGTTTTTATAAATCTAGGAAATAGATGCATTAATGTGACTCTTAAGAGCCAGTAGCCTTTCAGTCAGTAGGAGTTTGAACTTACTGGCAGGTCTCAGGAAAACGGTGACGTTTTGGCCCTTGTTGATCATAGCAGAATTGTGCAACCAGTTTCAATAGAAATGATGAAGAATATCAAGGCAGCTATGCAAAGTATTCGTGTTTCCACATAATTTCTTCAGTAATTTCTAATGCATAGTTATCTAAGAAGGACTCTAGCTAGCAAATCTGAAGAATCTCAGCAAGTGTACTTCTGTTTTTGTAGTTAGGGTGTATTACTCTATCCTGATTCAACTCTGAAGGTAGTAAGGTTTTAGCGCAAATAAAAATTGTGATGAGCAGCTATATTGGGGCAAATAAGAGAAAAAATGAGACTAAAATGAATAGAACAACATTCAGGTGCAGCTCAGGGTCAGAACACGCTGGATTTCCAGTGTAGCAGGGCACGTTGTGAAGCATACGGGGTTTGGTGCTGTTTGCTGCTCTTGAATCCCTGCGGTGAGCGCGTGCGGCAGAGCTGCCTTCAGTCAGGAAAAACACAGCCCTTAGCCATGGGATCAAAGCACTGGGGAGCTTAGTGGCTGTTAGTGACACGATCGGGAGTGATAGCGCGCCGAGGGAAACCGAGTAATGGAAATAGCCTCCCAGCTGGAGGCTGATCAATAATACTTGGCCAAGCTGCTTGCAGGAGCTTTGAACAGACACTTGTATCCAAACTGGTGTCCTCTCCTGTAGGGAAGAAGGAAGGAAATAGTGTGAATACAGCCCCCTGTTCCCCAGGCCTCTGTGGCTAAATATCATTGCTAGTTGGAACTAATGCTACTGCAGCTCTTAGTTGTTTGCCTTTGAAATCTGAAATCCTTTGTTTTGTGTGCAGCTTTCAAAGTCCTGAACTATCCAAAGAGGTATGTTTGGCTTTGAGGGAATCTGGTTCCTTAATTCCTTTTCATATTACAAGCTGAAAAGAACATAGAATGTCAAATAGCATCTGATTTTACTTGAAAATAAGTATTTAGATACGAATACATATTTTATCTGTATTTATATAGAAAATAAAATGTGTAACTTCAGTTAAAGTGCAGTCCAAAGTGTAAATAGCTTTTTATCCATTTTTATACTTGTGATGAGCTGTATTAGCTGAAGCATAAAATAATTACCACTGCTCTTCTGAAAAACAGTGTGTATTTTCCACTTGGAAAAAGACCACTGCCCGGTCTCCTCCCCTTAGCTCGCCTTATCTCTTGCAGGGGTTTACCCCTCTAGCCCATGTGAGTCTTCCTCTGCTCTGTTTTGCTACAGAAGTGATCTCTCTGGGAGAGAAATACCAGTTGCAGTGCCAGCAAGTAGCACCCAAGCACACCATATTAAAATATGAATAAACAGCAGCCATGTGTGGTTTCTGAAATTTATGTTTCATGACTTGAATAGTTTGAAGTGCTGACACTCCAAGAAACTATGTGCATTTAAAGAACCATAAACAGTAATTACAAATTGCTATTATTATTTACATAATATTTGTTTTTTATAAGCTCCCTCTAATATGATTCTTGATTCTGTGATGGATGTGTCTTGAGTCACTAATGTTTTGTTCTTGTTCTCTTTTTTTAGTTATACCAACAGAGTTGTAACCAATGGACTGAAGGCACAAGTTAATAACCCAGAATTGAAAGTCAGAGGACTAGACCCGCTCATCAGTAATTTAATTGATAAACTTCAGCACTTTAATCAAGTAAGTAAGTTTTGGAGATAAAAACATTTTATCATGGATCTGATAACAGAGCTGAATATAAAAATTTTTGTTGCTGCTGCTTCTCATGTTGTGTTTCCCAGGAATGATAGCCCTGAAATAGCCAGGTAGGAGGCTTGGTATTCAGAAGTACTGAAGACACTTCTGTGCAACCTGGGTCATGAATTTTACTGAGACGAAATTATTTCCCTGGGAGTAGCTCTAATTCATAGTTGTTCTTTCACTGCTGTTGATGAGCTGTCCTACATGTAATTCCTGAGCCCACAAATGACATCAAGCTTGTCATGACTAGAGTCAGTCGGTGTGAAAGCCTCTTGGACTTTCATGGTATTCTTGTGCTGGAGGAACATACTCCTAGTTTCCACTGCTTCCTGGGACATAAACAGATCCCCAAATGGAATGGGTCTCTGAGGGCTTATACAGAGTTGGAGTCAAGACAAAGTGCTCAAAGATGAATTACCTGTGCACAGCTGAGAACATTTCCTCAGTAGAAGTTGTTCTTAAGTCCTCTTTCCAGAAAGGAAAGATAACCTAGGAGTAAATGTTAGAAACACGCTCAGCCAATGCCTGCCTCTGTCGTCTATTTGTGCTCCATCGGATGTGCTGCAGGCCAAGCTGATGTGCAGCCTCTCAGAGCTGGGTGTGTGGTTCTGTACCAGCCCTGCTTCAGCACCCCTCTCTGGGAGTTCTTAAGCTAATGCCATTAATAGAGATTGATTTTCATTTAAGGCAGGTGTGTTTTCTTGTCAGCTTGAAAGAATGCTTTCAGCAGTGTGGTTGGTCAAATGTGTGTTTGCGCGTTAACCTACCTGTAATCAGTCACCTTTAAAGGCTGGGGATAGAACATGGGGATAGAAATAGTCTCTAGGAAAAGGCGAAAAGATCAAAGTCCACGCAGGAAAGCAGCCTGCACGGCTAAAATGGCAGGAGGATTTGCTTAGTCAGGATGTGGGAGGTTATAAAGACTGTAGCTGTGACTCAGAATCATGGTTTGATCTCTTATTTGCACCTGCAAAAGTACCATCCCACTCCACCTCTTGACAGCAACAGGTGGCTAATTCACAATCTAACTATTAATTATTATTTTTGTTAAATCTGTCCTGGCTCTAATATTCTGTGGGCCTCACTTTACTGATCATTTGGATCATCCTGCTTGATTTAACTTGCCATGGGGGATTACAATAAAGAGTCTTGTGCAGTACTTAATATTAGAGTGAAATAAACATTATGTGGTCAGATTGATGAAAAGGATAATTCATTATTTATCATCCTTTGCATGTTGTCAAGTAGGGTGTTAATTTACTCTATAAATATTAGATATATCTATCTGTGTAATAGTCTTCTATAAACACTGATGAAAGGAAATGGCTAGAAACAGATTAAATTAAAAGTAGCTGTGTATTGAACATACTATTTCTTTGTATCTTGTAGGAAAATAAAAATCTGAAGGGTCTCATTATAATGAACTATTTACCTAATTTGTTAACTTATGTACATTTAAAAAACTGCTGCAAAGAACACTTTCAGTCAGTAGAATAAAATCGTATTCTGTCATATCTCTTTGTATGAAACAGAAATGTTGCTTTCCATTACTTCTAATTCTGCTTTAGGAGAGCATCATCCTTAAGTAAATGTAACTCCCATCAGATTGAGGTGCTTAGAAATAATGGATTCCAAGGGTGAAGGATTAAACAGAATACTGATTATTGCCCTAAGATGGTTTGTTCTTAAGCACTTGGAATAATATAAATTCCTTTGATCATAATTTTAGTAAGATTTCTTCAGAGATCAAAGCATCAAAGAAGTTGCTAAATATCTAAGGCTTTTGCATACAACATCAAACATGTGTAGCTGTTTTTTGCTTCTTGAACTTTCGTTTCAGTTGTGATGATAGTATACAAATAAAAACTGACACTGAAAAGCCAATTAAATCAAGATTTTAAAGTGTCATCAATAGTGTGTGTAGACTCTATAGAGGAAGAATTATGCAGAATTGCATTACTCATTTTATGGACAAATTGAGTTTTTATCAAGTTATTCTTTTTTGTGTATACAATATGTAAGGGGGAATTTAAGCAGTTATAAAATAATGTGTAGATCTGTCTCCTTAAATATTTGGAATTTGCAATACCACTTGATGCAGCAGCATAACATTTTATATACAAAAGGAATCCTAGAGACACAGGAAGCTTGAGGAGCAGAAACCAAAGGAATGCCCAGAATATCCGTTTTAGATGGCTGAATGTGTGTAGACCCAATGATCCTGTATCACTTCAGTGATATTGCTTAGTTACATAGAAGAAAAGATAGGAGACATAGGATTTTTAAAAGAAATAATATTTTTCTGTTAAAAAAGCGAGCTATAGCCATGCTGCATCTACCAAAAAAGGGCCCAAACCTGTTTGGCTTCCTGTCTTGTGACTCTGTTTTGCCAAGGTGCCCATTTTTGAATGCTGTGCCCCTAGATCATCTTGCTGGGGTTATTGAGGCCTGTCAACTCCAGCAACGTTTAGACCATCTGGATTCGTTTTTCTGAAAGCTGCGCCCCAGCTCAGCAGTTCTTCATCTTCTGTGGAGCAAGTCTTGTTTCCCATAGCTGCTCCCACTGTTTCCTGTAGCTGCTTTTCAACCTCCAATTTCTGGGAGGGCTTTAGGTAACAGAGGGAGATTGAGTAACACTGGAGCAAAAGGCTGTGAGCAAGAGCGGCTTGTCCCCAACCATGCAGAAGCAGCAGCAGATGATTTACGTGGCTAGTTCTGCTGTGTACTTCTGTATCCCTCCTTACTGGGGGAGAAAAACCAGCAGCAACAGAACGTTAGAGAGGAGTGGCACAGCTTCCACCATAACTTTACTAGCAGCTTTACGTTTGCATACTCAAGGAATTATAGTATAATAAGTATTCTGTAAGTTTAACTTGCTTGTCTTTTGTCAGCCTAAGTCTAATCTTGACAGAGTTTGAGAATACAGAGTTCTTTACTGTTGTCAATTAGAGACAAATGATTAGGGCATGTCTCAAATGCGAGAAGACAGTGCAATATCTTTATGCTTTAAATAAGAGCGATACCAAAGCAAATCTTGCTGAATTTGGATCTGTATATTTTTTCCACTAAAGTTTCATGATCTCCTAGTTAAACAAAGAAATGTATTCAAATAAAATTCCTTTAAGAATTGTGTGTAAATGATGTCATTGTAGCAAAGTTTCAAGCAACAGCACCAAGGTATATATTATCAGTAATATAAGCCATCCAAAATTCAATCTTGAATGTGAATTAAATTGAGTTAGGTGGTAGAGAATAATACAATAAATCATTTACCTACTACTTAATTTAAATGTATATATATTTTTTTCAGACATTTATAAAATATATTGCATTAGAAACTATTTACATGAGATTTAAGTGGAGACAAGCTGGTTTGATTTTCCTCCAAAATTGTAGCTGACTTGAACTGAGATTTAAAATATTCCATTCTTCATTGCATCCAGTGAAAACATAGGAAAGAAGGTAATCTTAAACTGCTGGTATATTACCCTGCTTGGGACTCTGCCTATGACTATGCCTATTCTAAGCCTATGTAGGCTTAGAAATATTGCTGCTTGTGACATCCCCGCCCCACAACATGCAGAAACTTGTTTCTGTTCAAAATACAGCATGTTTTTTACAACTGAGTTTCCCAAACAGGTCCTTGCTATTCAAAGAATTTGGAGACTTTGGATATTTGTTCAGGATTTCAAGTATTCCATATCCCTCTTGGAACTGCAAAGCAAGATGTCTGGAAATCCCAGATACAGTTTGTCTGTCTCTGTTGGCAAACCATATAGAATGTGTAGTTTAGGGCATTGAATTTCTGCAGATGCACATATTAATATCAAAACACACACTTAATTGGGTAGGCCTTAGCTGTGCATATGGTGCGCTAATAATCCGTGCGTTCAGTGATTTCTGCCTTTCAGGATTTGTTGCATACAGAGCCTTCTCTACAGGTGATGGAAACTCCAGACAGAAATACAGGAGGTCTGAAGCTTTGTTGCCAAGAGCTTGTTGCCATAGCCTGTACAGATTCTACCTGAATAAAAAGTCCCAAGACTGATTTTTATCATATAAATAATTCAAGACCCTTGTTGCTATTGAACTGCTGCACGTGGTCCTCAGCAAAGCAGTGACATTGTTAATTGCCAGGTCAGGGACTGACTGGTCTGGGTGGTACCTTGGCTTGTCTGCACCTCAGCAACCAGCAGGACATTTCTCATCACGGCGGGTGTTTTTGTGGCTTATCTGGTCCATGTTGAATTCAGGTACTGAAATTAAGGGTTTAACAACCCTCCCCCCTTCCTCTCCAAATGGACACAGTAGCACAAATGCTATATAAACTTGAATTTTGCAGTAATCATTGTTCATCAATAACTACCAGCAAGCAGTGCATGTACTTGGGGAAAATAAGGATAGGGTTATTGAAATGGAAGCTATTTTAAGGTTTTATAATCCCAGGAAAGAGCAAATGGACTGTTTGATTACTTTTTATCTCCTTCTATGCGGGATAATAATTATTCCTCCCTCTTTTCAGATAAACTATCGTTTCAAATTACTTCATCATTTATAGAGGGTTGTTTTCTCATCCTACTTTTAATGTTAATTCTTGCTGGATTCATGGGCTGTTTTTCTTCTCCCCTGCTAAGAATCAGACATCTCTTTGCATCTGGATATATATGCTGGATGCCCTGCTCTGTGATAACTTATGATCTTTTTTATAATCCATATGCAATGAAACAACTCATCCCAAAGCCTGAAACAGTCTAGCTTCCTCAAAGGCTGAGCTTAATCTTGGTTTCTTCAGTCCCCTGCATGATTTTCAGCTTCTTAAAGATATATACGTACATATGCAATGTGTGCTGTATAGAAATATTGGAGACATCAGATTTCATCATATTGGTGATTAAAGCAAGAAAAGTTACAATAATGCTGCTAGTCTTGGAAAAAAATAA